ATATTTTGGGGTCGGCAAGGGATTTTCTTCCAGGGTAGATTGGCAGAGGCCTTGGGAGTTTTTTGCCTTCCTCTGTAGCATGGGGCATGGGTCACTTGCTGGAGGATTCTCTGCACCTTGAAGTCTTTAAACTATGAACTTTGAAGACTTCAATAGCTCAGACATAGGTGAGAAGTTTATTGCAGGAGTGGGTAAGTGAGATTCTGTGGTCTGCATTGTACAGGAGGTCAGACTAGATGATCATAATGGTCCCTTCTGACCTTAAAGTCTATGGGTTTAGCAGATGAAGGTATAACTCAATCCACTTGCTGGAAGATGAAGCTAGACAAATTCAGACTGGAAATAAAGCATAACATTTTAGCAGTGAAAGTAATTAACCATTAGAAAAATTTACTACTCCTGAGGGAATTCTGCAACAAAAAATTTAAAATTCTGCACACAATATTTTTAAATTATGAAAAAAATCTGCATATTTTATTTCTCAAAATAACACAATATAATCACACCAGTTTCAATTATTTTAGTAATTTATTTCAAAATATCTGTCAGCAATTATGTCTGTAACAATACAGACAACAAAGATTCCCCCAGGAGTAGAGAGTTAAAGAAAGCCCAGTGACAACCCAATTCCTGTTTCTCTGTTGTGCACCTCAGCAGACATGCCAAACCCGTGAAAAAAAGGCAGAAATTGGGCTTGGTTTTGGCTTAATTGGCTTGTGAGTTGCTTGTTGGCTAGTTTTTTGGCTTGTAGCTTGTTGCTTCTTTTTTTTGATCGGCTCCTGGCAAGCAGGGGCAAGGGGAGGAGAGAGTCAGAGGTGCACAGTGGGCCCAGACTGCATGCCAGGGGGATCTAGTCACATAGAGGTGGCTTGTTTTGAAGTGGGATTAGGTTGATTTTTGGCTTATTGTGAAAGTCTGGGTGCTTATTTACCGCATGAAAGTTGGCAACTGTGCACCTCAGTCTGGGTGTGTCACACATGCCAGCTGGACACATCTTGGGGGAAAACTCTGCCCCTCTGGTCTCAGACACCCACACCTCTTCCCCCCAGAGCCCGCCGCAGGGCACCCCCAGCTCAGACAGCTGTTCCCTCTCACTCCCCCCAGCCCAGCCTTGGAGTACCCCCCACCACAGACACCCACAACACCTACCCCCAGAGCCCAGCTGCGGGACAACCCCCAGCCCAAACACCCACACACCCTAACACCCAGAGCCTAGCTGAAGGATTCCCTCCCAGCCCAGACACCCTGCACCCACTACCCCACAGAGCCCAGCAGTGGGGCTTCCCCCCAGCCCATGTTTTATAAACAGAAGGCTTCAGTCTTCAGCAAGGCTGTCTGTTAGGCACCTCACATACACATTCATTTTTAAAAATTAAATTGTAGAATAAATTCAGTAATGAAGTTATGGCACATAAATTCCACATGAACTATAATACTGTTATTTAGCAGCATGTGATTGATACACAGCTTGTGGGGGGTGTGTGGAAACAAGTGAGGGGAAAGGAAGAATGAGATGTAAGAAAAGAAATCAGCAGTTTGTGGATGAGATGTTTTATCAATTAAAACTAAAAACTGTTTGAATTCTCATCATGCTTCTGCTTGCATCCCTGACAGTAATGTACAGTACCTGCAGAGAGAGAGAGAGAGAGCTCAGTAGAGAAAAATTGTGAATTGAGTTACACAATGAAAATGTCAGCTAGGTATAGGACAAGCTATCATTTTCGTTTTGAACCCATTTGACCTATAACTGCTTCTGGGAATTCTATGAGAGGCTGCAGCAGCTTAGTTAGGAATCGGTCTCTCAGAAACTATGGATGAAAGGCTCTGAAATGTAAGCATTAAGTATGGCTTCTATTTTCTTAGCTCCAGATTTGGCAGACACACAGTCTGGTCTTTTCACATCCACTAAATAGGATTAATTTCTATAAAAGTTCTGCCTAATTTTAAAATCACTGGCAGTGCCATTCTGCAATAGCTGTCCCCTGAAACATCATTATCATTCTCTACTCTCCCCCTCTGCAGGGGACTTAGGCCAACATCAAGCAGCTGGGCCCCATCATCCATGCCCTACCTCTTCCATCCATGGCTTACCTTGACCCCAAAGCCTTGCTGGGCAGAGGCACAGAAAGCTACTGTGGAATCCTGCACCACAAAAAGAGTCCCCATATGCAGAGCCTCTCCAGAGCTGGACCTCTGCACAATGCAACTCCAGTTCCTTGGAGACCCCTTTGCCACCCACAAGATTTGGCCTACAGTGCTCACTGGGTAAATAACATGCAGAGGCCTGATAATTTCATTCTTCCTCAGACTCCCTGAGACAGCAATTCCAAAACTAATTAATTGTTATATCATTTAATTTGCACTTTGATTTAAAAACTTCTTTGTGTAAAGTAATAGTATTTAACTTTTTAGATAGTGACATTTACTGATGCAGTTTTTGTGTTGTTTTTCTCCATTGTGAATTGATAAGATTTCATGATGAACATGACCTGCTTTGCTTCTGTGAATGGTTTTAGCACTTTGCAGCAGCAGGGACTATGCTAGCATAGAGAGGCTCCAGTAATAACTTAGGTGACTGCATATCACACCAAAAGTCAAAATAATATTCTGGTCTTTTCATGAGAGCCAGATGAAAGGAAGAAAAAATCTTCAAAGCACTTTTCTCTGATGCTGACCCAAAATAATTTATAACAGTAACTACAATAATGGATGTGAAAGGCTGGATATTTTTCTCCCCTTACAACTGTACATTGTGGACCTTAAGAGTGCCACAGAACTAAGTTCCTAATAATTCACAGTATTCATAGGCGCTGACTCCATGGTTGCTCCATGGCTGGAGCACCTACAGGAAAAAAATGGCGGGTGCTGAGCCTCTACCAGCAGTCAACCCCCATTTCACCCCCAGCACCTTCTGCCCCCCAGCAGCCCTGCCAATCATTACCTCCCCCTCCCACCTGGCTGGGACAGGAGGTTGGGGTGCGGGAGGGGGTGAGGGCTCTGGGTGTAGGCTGTGGGGTGGGGCCAGGGATGAGGGGTTGGGGTGTAGGAGGGGGCTCTGGTCTGGGGCTGAGGGGTTAGGAGTGCAGAAGGGGGTGAAGGCTCCGGCTGGGGGTGTGGGCTCTGGGCTGGAGCTGGGGATGAGGGGTTTGAGGTGTACGAGAGGGCTCAGGGCTAGGGCAGGGGGTTGGGGTGTGGGAGGGGGTGTGGGGTGCAGGCTCCGGGAGGGAGTTTGGCTGCAGAAGGGGGATCAGGGCTGGGGCAGGGGGTTGGGGTACAGGAGGGAGTTAGGGTGCAGGAGGACTTTCAACAGCTCAGTCAGCAGGCATTTCCGGTCGAAAATCAGATGCCTGGCAACCCTATAAGGTATAAGGGATTCTCAAGGACCAGTTACAGGCACAGCTGTGAAAATCAGGTCAAGGTTAAGTCTGCTGTAAATGACAGTTCTTTGACCTGATTTTCCTGCTATTGGATGCATGTAATTCCAAGGACCTTCATGGGGCCTTGTGATGGGGTACAAAAATCTCACACTGTCTGAACAGGTTAAAAGGCAATACTTGGCCTATGTAGCCCCCACCTCTGGGCTTGCAGAACATGCTGTGACTGGAGGAGCTGGTTAAAATGCAACTCAGAAGCCAAGGTGAAGGGTGGTGGACAGCCTACAAGAGAAAAGAGCCATTCTTCTGACTGGTTTCCTACAGGTTGAGCCTGAGAGGGGAGAGCAGGTAAGGCCCACAGGTGGTGCCTTCTTTAAATACTGCTTTCTTTGAGAACCAGCAGGTAATGCAGGGCCTTGCACCTTTGGACTTTTTCTTTCTTTCTTTCTTTCTTTTTGGATGAGAGACTGGACTGTAAGGGTTATACCCCAAACTGAAGGGACCTCATGATAGCCCAGGGAGATTAATTTGGACTTCCTGTGGGGACAGCTATGCCTGTGTTGCTTCCCACAGGACCCTGGGGTGGGACACAATGGAGAGGAAGGGCCCAGGCCCCCTTATGACACCCTAAAAGGGTAAAAGCCCAGATGTGGATGGAAAGTTGAAGATTCCTGGCTTAAGTTCAGGCACAAATATTGTTACTACCCTGACAAAGGGGCAAAGAGCTGCAAGTTGGATGCATTAATTACTAGGCTGCCTCATCCTCTGAGCCCCTGTCACTCTTGTAGGAAATAAGGGCTTGTCTACACAGTGGGGCAATGTGCACTACAGGTGTGTGATTTTGAAAGCAAAGGTTCCTTAGTGCACTTTAATATACTAGCATTTCAAACTCTACATTACAGTGCACGGGGAAACCTTTAGTATGCACCAGCAGGTATTCAATAGGCGAACCGTGGGCTGAATCTGGAGTGCCAGACACGTTTGTTCAGAGCCTGAAAGCGCTTTATATTGCTTTTTATTATTATTTTCTCTGGACTCTGAACCTTGACTATACCCTGACCGAGAAATTTGGACCTTGACAAAAAATAATCGACCACCCCTGGTCTACCCAGACAAACTAATGCGTAACAGGTTAGCGTGCCTTAGCAATCACACCGCTGTAGCCCGCGTTGCCACACTATGGAGACAATCCCCCGGTATGTCTCCAAAGGGTTTTAGGGAACATCCTGTGTCAGCACCAATTCATCGGACACGAAGCGCTAGCAGGGACGGTGCAAGCCCCCCAGCGGCCGCCAGCCCGTTCGAGACGCGGGGCGCTGCAGCTGACTCCCCTTGGTGCCCACGCGCAGGTGGGGAGGCTGCAGGAACTGCTGGGCAGCCCGGGGGCAGGCGAAGTACCCAGGGAGCTGCCCAAAGCCGGGGGCGGGGGCGGGTTAAAAGCCAGGCCTCGGGCCACTGAGCCAGGCTCCTTAGAGGTGAGAATCCAGCCTAGCCCCGCCCCTTACCCAGGGGGCCCTTGGGTAAGTGGTCGGACAGCAGCAGCATCCGGGTCCCTGCTGCCGCGCTTTGTTCCCCCTCTGGCTCTCAACAGGCCACGCCCCTGATCAGTCCCTCCCTCCCCCTACCGCCTGGGCGGGACGCAGGGTGATGGCGTCATGGGGGAGCTGGGGCTGCCCCATGGCGGCGGAGACAGCCGCCTTCGCTCTGCCGCGGGAGGTGAGCGCCGGGCCGGGCTCCCCCAGGCCTTGGTCCCTCCTTCGGCTGCGGTCCCGTAACGCCGGGGCGGGCCGCCGGGCCTCTTCCCCACAAGCGTCCATGCCTGAAACGCCGGGCTCCCGGCGGTGGCCGCGCTCCAGTGCCCCGGGAGTCCGCCGGGGCTGGGACCGCCGGGCCTGGGGAGCTGCCGCAGCCATGGCGGGCTGTGCAGAGGGGGCTGGGAACGGGGGCGGATTGTCTGTCGCACCCCGGGCGCCGCTGTCCGCGAGAGCCCCGCGTGGCTTTGTTTCTAGCAGGTCTGTGACCCCTGGGCACCGCTCGCCCCGCTCTGCAGGGAAGGGAAACGCAGTCCCCAGAACAAGGAGTTCTCCGCCACCTTGGGCAGCCCGGCGTGTTTTGTTTGGGTTAGCTCAGCGTGTTTTGGAGAAAGAAGTCAGTTAGCAAACTCCCCTTGTCATCAAGAAGCAACGGGGAGATGAGGCACGAGTCCAGCTTTTCTTTACAGCTTGCCTTTATGGCTTACCACCTACTTCTTTGAAATAGCATCTCACTTCCTTGCCTGAAATATGGAGAAGCCTGCGGGTGGGGAATGCCCAAAGTACAGCAATTGCATCCCAAGTTGTGAAGTGTAGCTTGGAGCGGTCCTTTCCTTGTAGGTCTCAAGAATGAGTTAAGATGGACATGATACAAATGAAGTGGGGTAAAGAGATGTTTAATAAGAGATTATGTTCTATTTTTGTTCTGTGACAACAAAACAGCTATTATGTTCTCAGAACATTTCTATGCTGTAATACTGACACACTGCTTTTTGGACTGGAAACACTACTCCTAATTTAAAACAAACAGAAAATCAAAATTTATCTCAGTTCCCATGGAGGAAAAGCCTACTCCTTATCAGGAAAGCACATAGAGGGGTTTGGGCCTCATTTTGTGGAGAAGTGCACCGAGCAGTTGAGCTTTCATGAGAAAAGGGAGCATATCTATTATTTGAATTTTAAAGGACCAACCAGTGGTGGTATCCTTAGCGGCCTGTCCCTGTTGTGATACTTTTGTCTCTGAGAAGGAGCCTATATGATGTGTGCTGGACTGGAAAGTTGACTGTTGGCAGCTACACCAAGAGTTATATGCCACCTTGTGTATATCTTGTTTTTAATTTTTCCCAATCTCCTGTATCTCGTCAGAAATGCATTGAGAAGGGTAAACAGGATTTTCTGTCACACCATTTTCCACCTTAGTTATCATCTCCTTCCACTAGAATGTGTAACTCTTACATGTGAAGAGAGAAGCAGATTCTTTAAGAGTCACGGGTAGTCTGGGGGGAGTTTACTTGCTTGAGAAGACACATAGAAGCCCAGATTTTATTTGAAATAGCTTACACTCCTTGCTTTATTGGTTACAAAGACCGAGAGACAAAATACAAGATACTTTTGATCCCTCCTATATTCACCCCAGAGCTTACCGCATTCTTCTAGTTTCTTATTTTCTACTACGGTCTACACATCAGCTTCCCTAACACCTCTGATAAAAGACCACTTTTGGGAACATTTTTTTTTTAAGTGCATTTTTTCTGATTCAGATACAGTTCTAGGTTAGAATAGACTGTCCACAAAATGTATAAGAAAGGGACCAAAAGTTTCCATTTTCAAAAAGAGAAACCAAACAGCTGATGTTTGTGTCTGTCTATCCACAGGATCACAGATAAGGTTCAAAATTATCATGTAAGTTACAGAGATTTTTAAATGTTGAAAAATATTTCCACAGTGAGGAGTTATTTTCTATTAATGTATGTTTGCGCCTCTGTAGAGGGAGCATGGTTTAGCCCTCGACATTAGTGCTCCTAAGCATGTATGGAGGAATGACTAGAAAGAATGTAACTAATATTTTAAAAATCTCTTGCCCTCTAATTCTGAAGCTGTAGGGCAGAAAATCGATTTGTCAGTGCCAATGTTCACTGCAAGATGTTGAAATACTGATGTTGCCAAGAGTTGGGGTTTACTTTGCTTTTGTAATGAAACATTTAGACACACTGGCCACAGCTTGCAACAATGACTGGTGATTTTGGGTGCCCAAAATGAAATGCATTAAAGTTACCAGACTTTTTGAAAGTGCTGAGCACCCACCATCTAAAAATCAGGCCTTTTAAAGCTGTCTCAAGCTGGCCACCAAAAGCCATTAGTCGCTTTGAAAACTTTGATCTGTGTATGTATGTACCGAAGTAAAGACCTGTTTGATGTGGTTTCAGAATGTGGTACAATTTTTTTTTACACAGCTTCCCTTTCCAAATGGTTTGGTGCAAGATTTGTGGCAGTCAGCCTGGAAAACCCGGGGTTGTGTATTGACAGCACATTGAAGCCTCTGTTTTGTAGTGGACAGCATGAGATGTCAGCAACTTTACTGAATGCATAAACGATATAATCTGTAGTTTTTTTCTTATAAGGAATGATATGGCAAGTTTTAAAACTACCAGACTATAACTCAAAGCTATATTTATATTTATTGTTTTTACAGTGGACGTCCTGCTTTACTTTTTTTTTTAATATCTTATTGGAGAGTGATGTACTAAGTTTGCATGATTCTGACTTGCCTGGGATCTTCACCATAACTGTCTTATGAAGTTATTCCAATGAGCAAACATTTTAAATAAAATGTATTGAGAAGAGAAGCATCTCCTGTTGTGACAGCATTTCACAAGGTGCTGTCGTCTTGTTGTAGATGTCCCTAGCATACTATGGTAGATGTGGCAAAGAAAAAGACAATGGATGACATCACATTTAGAAGCAACACTGTACTTTCTGATGTTCATCTACACACCCCAAGCAAAAGACATCTCATGGTGCGATTGAATACCGTTGGACAGCCAGGTAATGTACAATCAGATGGTGCTTAGAGTTTCACCATTGGTAAAATGGGGATAATAATATCGACCTCCTTTGTAAAGTGCTTTGTGATCTACAGATGAAAAACTCAATATAAGAGCTCCGCATTTATTTATTTATCTTATCTTAAATTTATTTGTAACCATGAAACCTGGTGTCAAGGATTAAATTAAATTCTTAATTGGACATTAAAAATTTGCCTTAAGACAGAAATGTCAGCACTAATTGTATTTAGTTATAAAATATTTTAAGAGTTGTTAACGTTTACAGAGTAACATATTTCACTGTAATTATAGTGCCAATTTTTCCAGCTACAGAGAACTGTCTCATAATCTGGTTTAGCTCTCATGTAAACTAAGTGATTTATCAAAAAAATACTGTTATGTTTATTTTGATATTTTATACGGAAATAAATTTAGAAAATGCAAGTTTCATATTGATTCTGTCTTTAATCTTTCATTGTTTGTCTTTGACGTCCTTTTTTTCTGTTAGTATTTCTATCACAATTCCAGCTCCTTTTGAACAAAAATAATTGGGAGTCTGAGAGAGAAAATGAAAAAGAACTTACAACAGAAAATATGGGACACCAAACCAGAGATGGGAAGGAATTGTGTGACAAAGGTAGTTATGATCTAGATTTTCTCAACAAAAATGGAAGAGAAGCAAATAATTTTAAAGGGATAGAAGCTCTGCTGGATGATGATGGGGATTTGGAAGTGGTCAGAAGACCTCAATATGTGTCTGATCCAGACGTGGAGGATCTTTCAAGGGACAAAGTATATCCCATAATTCTGACTAAAGGAGGAGAAGATATTTTTGAAGATGTAAAGCAGGAAAGTACCTGCAATAATATTATTAAAATAGGTAAGCAAAGCTATAGGCTGATACGCAGACATTAGTCATTTACTTTTGTTCATACAAAAGAAAACATGGGCTATATAATACAGCAGTAGCGGTTATTTTATGCCAAATGAACAGGTACTGCCAACCTGATTTGCTTTTACTTTGATACTTAGTTGAGTAGTAACACTTTAGTAACTCGATATGAAATTTTCTTTTTGAAAATTAAATTCCCCATCAACCAGGTGTCATGTAACTCAGGTAGTTCCTGACTCTCTGCACCCATCAAGGCTCTGAAATATAGCTATTATGGCCTTTAGTTGTTGCAGAGCATAAACTCAAGCTTCAGATTTAGAATCTTTTCATTTGCTTGAAAAACAGACACTTCTCTTTTTAAGTGTCGTTTTTATGGCTAATCTGGTTCAAGTGGGTTCTCTTCTTTTTTTTAATTTATAATAAATCCTAAAGTATGGGGGGACATGTAAACATGTTGGTGTATACGACAGTTTGTATTGTCAGTTAACCTTTTCTGGTATTTATCAGTAGTGCAAGAAGAATGTGATCTACTTATATTTGACTCTTCCATGTTTTAGCTGCTAAAGCAAAATGTTTAGGTGTGTAGTTCTTTACATAGTATGATTATTCATTCAGGACTAAGAGCTCTGTGTAAGGTGGAAAGCTTGTCTCTCACCGACAGAAGTTGGTCCAATGAATGATGTTTACCTCACCTTCCTTGTCTCTCTAATATCCTGAGACCGACATTGCTACAATAACAGTGCTTCTGTTACTCTATTTAAAACTCCTTCGTAAGGAAGGGGATTGATTATACAGAGAATCAGAATTTGTCCGATGGTTTCCAGGGATCCAAAATTCCAGAAAGCTTTTTCTGCTGAACTATACCAGTTTAAGATGTTACTGAACAAAAGCTGCTGACATTTGGCTCTTCAGTGGAATATGTGATCTTAGTCCATTTGTTGGAGGATAGTTGTCCACCTCTCAAACCACGATTATAGCTGGCACTACAATAGCATACTGTTTAGTAGTCTCAGAGTCCACAACAAAATATCTCTCATCCATAGAGTTTGTCTTTTTCAAGTCAGGATTGAGGCAAGTTGATAAATTACAAAATAAGATTATGCTACCGCTGCCTGTAGTCCACCTGTTATCTGGTTAAATCGAAGATCTGTGATAAATGTTCTAACATAAAAACAGCCACTTATAAATACCTATTCATTGTTATGTTACTGTAAACAGTTCCTTGTTTATGTTCAGAGACTGCATGTATAGTGTTAAGCACCCTACTTTTTACTGTGTTTTATGAGTGAGTCTAAAAACACAAATTTTAAAAATGTAACTTAAAAAGAATATGATCCCAGACGGTAAAGATAGTGTCCTTTGACATTAAGTTTAAAAAAAATCTTTAGCTATGACTCTTATTTATGTTACTTGTTCATTTAAAAAAATGTTGTTAAAGTACTTGTTTCATTTTTTTGCTTTCATTTTACCAGAGCATACAATGGCAACACCACTGGAAGATGTTGGTAAACAAGTATGTATCTTCTTCATGGTATCCTGCACTTCGTGAACTGTTCATCAGAGCCTTAACTTTCTATGCCTTCTGCTCTCTCCTGAAGGTCTGGCGAGGAGCCTTTCTTCTTGCAGATTATATCTTGTTCAAACAGGACACGTTCAGATGTTGCACAGTACTAGAGCTTGGAGGAGGAACTGGAATTACAAGCATTGTCATGGCAATGGTTGCGAAGACTGTGTACTGCACAGGTACTTTGATGCAATTATTTTTAATTAAACACTAACGTGAAAAAAGTCTAATTGTGTAGAAGCACAGGAAATTTGAATGAAGCATCTCTTATTTCTGCTGGGTTTTTTCCGTTTAGCCCTTTTTTCTTTTTTTTCTGATTATACATACTGACACCAAGTAACAGGTTCTTGATTTCTTGATAATACCGTGCAAAAAATTTCTCAGTAGATGACACAAAAAAGAAGTGGTGCCTTACAAGTGTGAAATGGAATCAGGATCTTCATTTTAGGGAATAAGAAAAGGAGTACTTGTGGCACCTTAGAGACTAACCAATTTATTTGAGCATGAGCTTTCGTGAGCTACAGCTCACTTCATCGGATGCATACTGTGGAAACTGCAGAAGACATTATATAAACAGAGACCATAAAACAATACCTCCTCCCACCCCACTGTCCTGCTGGTAATAGCTTATCTAAAGTGATCATCAAGTTGGGCCATTTCCAGCACAAATCCAGGTTTTCTCACCCCCCCACCCTCCTCCAAAAACCACACACACACAAACTCACTCTCCTGCTGGTAATAGCTCATCCAAAGTGACCACTCTCCCTACAATGTGCATGATAATCAAGGTGGGCCATTTCCAGCATAAATCCAAGTTTAACCAGTGTTAGGGGGCTTATTCCTTCACCCACTTACTTCCCTGGTCCTTCTCGCATGAACAGAGAGCAACAATACCCGAAGTCCAAAGGTGCAAACAATTCGATGTTTATTGGGGTGAACTTCCAGCAAGCATGATTCCAGTTTCCTTCCTTAGTATCCTCCTTTCCAGCTCTGTCACCACAGAGCCTTACGCCTGTGTCCCTGTTCCCATTCCTACCCTTAGCCAAACATGATTCCAACTTCCTTACTCCCATTCCCTGTTCCCATTTCCCCCTTTAGCAAAACATGATTCCAATTTTCTTACCCCCATTCCCTGTTCCCATCTCCCACACCCACATGCCCACCCCCACCCACACCCAGTCACTTCCTCATTGACTACAGATTATATAGTAAAACTTGAGTTCTGCTTAGCTATACCTTAACCAATCATTTTCCTGAAATTTAACTAACCAATCCTAACATATTGTAACATGATTATGTAACCAATTATATCCCACCACCTCAATTAGTTTACACCCAGCAAAATTAATTATACAGCAGACAGGAACAATCACAGAACCAGACAGAGATTATACAGACAAACAACAGCAAAGTGGGAACTATAATGACAAAACAATACAGAAGTGAGGATTTCACATCCCAGCTATTGATAAGTGAGTTCTTGCCAGACAGGATGCTATCAAACTAAGTTTCCTTTTACATTTTCTAGGCACTTCCCTTTCTCTGGAGGTGATAGGAATACAATCCTGTCCTGATAGTGCCTAACAGCCCAATAGCACCTTATTTCAATGTGACTAGTTTGGAATGTGAGGATGTGACCGTTCGCTTCCCAGCTTATGGCTGCCTCTGCTGCTTAGCCAAAGGCCTGAGCCTAAGCACAGGGCCACAAACTGTCACAGTAAGAGAAGGCCCTTACACTGGCAGACAGTGGTTTTGATTCTTTCTTTTATACCTCTATCACTAGCCAAGTGATAAGAATACACCTAAATTCTTAGAGTATAGGCCTTTACAGTCAGGCCTGAATATCTATATCCTAACAACCAGAACGCCGGGGGGGGGGGTAAGAAAAAAACAAGGGGAAATAGGCTACCTTGCATAATGACTTAGCCACTCCCAGTCTCTATTTAAGCCTAAATTAATAGTATCCAATTTGCAAATGAATTCCAATTCAGCAGTTTCTCGCTGGAGTCTGGATTTGAAGTTTTTTTTGTTGTAAGAGCGACCTTCATGTCTGTGATTGTGTGACCAGAGAGATTGAAGTGTTCTCCGACTGGTTTATGAATGTTATAATTCTTGACGTCTGATTTGTGTCCATTTATTCTTTTACGTAGAGACTGTCCAGTTTGACCAATGTATATGGCAGAGGGGCATTGCTGGCACATGATAGCATATATCACATTGGTGGATGTGCAGGTGAACGAGCCTCTGATAGTGTGGCTGATGTGATTAGGCCCTTTGATGGTGTCCCCTGAATAGATATGTGGGCACAGTTGGCAACGGGCTTTGTTGCAAGGATAGGTTCCTGGGTTAGTGGTTCTGTTGTGTGGTATGTGGTTGTTGGTGAGTATTTGCTTCAGGTTGGGGGGCTGTCTTTAGGCAAGGACTGGCCTGTCTCCCAAGATTTGTGAGAGTGTTGGGTCATCCTTCAGGATAGGTTGTCTACAGCCAAGCTCTGCAATACAACCGCATTTGCTCCAACCCCTCAGACAGAGACAAACACATACAAGATCTCTATCAAGCATTCTTACAACTACAATACCCACCTGCGGAAGTGAAGAAACAGATTGATAGAGCCAGAAGAGTTCCCAGAAGTCACCTACTACAGGACAGGCCTAACAAAGAAAATAACAGAACGCCACTAGCCGTCACCTTCAGCCCCCAACTAAAACCCCTCCAATGCATTATTTAACCGGCATTCTGGTTAAACTTGGATTTATGCTGGAAATGGCCCACCTTGATTATCATGCACATTGTAAGGAGAGTGGTCACTTTGGATGAGCTATTGCCAGCAGGAGAATGAGTTTGTGTGTGTATGGGGGTGGGGGGGTGAGAAAACCTGGATTTGTGCTGGAAATGGCCCACCTTGATTTTCATACACATTTTAAAGAGAGTGGTCACTTTGGATGGGCTATTACCAGCAGGAGAGTGAGTTTGGGGGAGGGAGGGGGGGGGGGGACGACGGAGGGTGAAAAAACGTGGATTTGTGCTGGAAATGGCCCAACTTGATGATCACTTTAGATAAGCTATTACCAGCAGGAGAGTGGGGTGGGAGGAGATATTGTTTTATGGTCTCTGTGTATATAATGTCTTCTGCAGTTTCCACAGTATGCATCCGATGAAGTGAGCTGTAGCTCACGAAAGCTCATGCTCAAATAAATTGGTTAGTCTCTAAGGTGCCACAAGTACTCCTTTTCTTTTTGCGAATACAGACTAACACGGCTGTTACTCTGAAACCTGTCATTTTAGGGAATGTTACATTTTTACATTGAATTTAAATAGAACATGACTGGGTAGCAGCTACATTTCTCGTAAGGAAGCTAGCTGTGTACAACAGAAAGTCCTGATTATTTAGCTTGTCTCTAATGTACAGAATTTTGGAAAGTTAGCTTCTGTATATTTTGTTTTATTTGCGCAGCTTGCATAGTGTCTCAAACTTGATTGATACAGGCAAATGAAGAACCAGTTCTGTGGCTATTTTTGTATTCATTTGCAGATCTTATTTTATTGACAGATATACCATTGAAATTTCAGCTGCACGTTGGAGATAACCTTGTCAGTCAATTAGGTATTAGCTTAGCTTTTGCTAAAACTGCAGTTTTTAAAACAAACAAAAAGTCTGAAAAAGACAATACTAAGAACAACTAACATTGTGGATCCTGCCTAAATTTGTTTTCCGAAGAAATGAATCTGCCTTTGATTGTAACACTCTAGAAAACTGTTGTTTTTACAAAAATGATTGCTCTTATGAACAGAGAGAGCCTTTCAACTCTAGGTCTCCTGTTCAGATACATCCTAAGTATTTAACTGATAGTTGTCTGTGTGAAAATGTTTGGCAGTCTAAGTTCACCTCTTCATGAAGAAGTGTCCAGATCATGACATTTGCTCATCACTGCTGGCCTTAATATTGGGCTTTGTTATTGGCAGTGTCAGCAGAGAGCACAGGAACTATGAATAGGCCCTGGAGATTAAGCTATCCTCTCATCCCAAGAAGGAGTCTATCACGTAGGTCAGGGCTTCAGCACATTCCGAATATAATATTGTTTTCAGTACAATTATCAGTTATTTCCAGATGTTGGTGAAGATCTTCTGGCTATGTGTGAGCAAAATGTAACATTAAACAAGCATCTTACTGAGCCAGCAGGTAAGAACCATTTGTTATTTCTCAATTGCAAGTTTGTGCCTTTGTCAGTAGAACTGTTCCTAGAATATACAGTGGCAGCCATATAGGTTGATGTCACTATCCAAATGTTTACAAATAATGAAACTTTTTATCATAATTGAAAATATGTCTCATAGAAACAAAGACATGAAAACTCTATATAGTGTCCACATTGCAGTTGCTGCTCTTCTGAGCACAGCGCAGGACTCTTTCAGGGCACTGCTCTCTTCCAGTCAGATACAGGCAACCATGGTTGCTGCACAAAGCTATTGTGTAATACGGAATCCTTCAAGAGTCACCTGGAATAATTGGGAGTCGTGGAAGTCTTTGGGCCAAAGTCAGCAGTGTTGTAAATTGAGTGTCAATGGTGAAGTGGTGTAATAGTTTCTCATTGGAATGTATAAAACAAATGTTAAAGGGTTGGAAGGGAGCTATCTTGCAGGTAAAATAGCTAACAGGAGCGCATAAGGTAAAGCAGGCTCCCTCTTCTGCACTTCTCCCATCGTTTCCTTCTGCATGTGTAACTGTCTGATTTGGCTGAATCCCAAATCAGTTCATGTCAATTTTTTTTTTCACTTTTTCCACCATTTTTCCACTTACAGCACCACTTCACTGCTGATTTTTGGCCCATGATCTCCACTAAGTTACCATCTGAAGGGTGGATGCAGTTAATTTGCCCATCAGCTGTAGGTTTTTTATGATGTTTTTGTGTGTGTGTATGTACAGGAGGTGAAGTTAAGGTAAAAGAGCTGGACTGGCTGAAAGATGAGTTCTGTACTGGTAAGTAGTTGTGATGCATTTAGTTCAAACTGTTTTCCATGATAGTTTTGAAATAGTTAAACGTACTAAACTGCAACTAACAATTCTTCAGTTACATCAGGTTCTAGTAAAAATCACTTTTTAATAAGTCGGAGTGGCCCCTTCTGAAATTAGTGATCATTTCCAAGAGCAGGAGTATTGAGTTACAAAAGTCTGCATTAAACCAATAAGTGTCACAGTTCAGTGGGTAATTGCACCTCTTCTCCCTCCATGGTCTCCTTAAGGGTGCCCCCTTCAGTTTCAGGCCTCCAGTCATCAGTTCTCTATGGGCAGGGACTCGCATCCCTCCAGACTGCGGTGGACACGCTTGCAGTCTTATTGCAATTTACTGTGCTTATCCCAGCAATTCTGACCTTAGTCTTATTCCTGCCATTCTGCTATCTCCCAGGGGCTATGAGAGTGACCACCCAGCTTTAAAAGTATAGTACATTTATTTAGGACAAAAGCATTACATGAAAAAAACATACAAACCAGTATATTCTACACTCATGCTAAGCCTACCACGTGGAGACACTGGTAGGTTTCCAGTCCTTCAGACTCTTCCAACAGTGTTTTGACCTCCTGGTTATAGTCTCATCTGAGTTCAAGGATCAAATGAGGGACCCTGAGTCAGTTCAGGCTGCCCCTTGTTACCAAAACCCCATTCTTTCCCTACGGTGCCTCTTGAACCTGGTCAGAACCAGTATGTGATGGGGCGGGATCTGAGTTACTACAGAAAATTCTTCTCTAGGTATCTAGCTGGTGAATCTTGTCCATATGCTCAGGGTTTAGCTGATCACTATATTTGGGGTCGGCAAGGAATTTTCCTCCAGAGCAGATTGGAAGAGGCCCTGGAGGTTTTTCGCCTTCCTCTGTAGCATGGGGCACGGGTCACTTGCTGGAGGATTCTCTGCTCCTTGAAGTCTTTAAACATGATTTGAGGACTTCAGTAGCTCAGACATAGGTGAGAGGTTTTTCGCAGGAGTGGGTGGGTGAGATTCTGTGGCCTGCGTTGTGCAGGAGGTCGGACTAGATGATCATAATGGTCCCTTCTGACCTTAATATCTATGAATCTATGTGCAATACCCTCCAGGGGGGTGGTACTTCTCTGAAGTTGCTTATCTGTCCTAGAATCTGCAGAATTTATCCCTCATAGATTGTAGTTCCTCTCTGCATGGAGCCAGAATGCAGTCCCTAGCTCCCAAAGATCTATGCCATACTTACAGATACCAAAGTCGATGAATATTCCATGGGACTATAGTGTCTGGCATTCCTCACTATAGTAGTCTTTTGAAGTTTTCATGCTTCCAAGATCTTAAATGGGTCACATTTTGATCTTATCTTAATGTTGTTGTGAAGTGTATGTAAGCATACATAATGCACGTCATGCACATACACTAATGCCCAATCTGTTGACCGGCTGGCTGCAAAACACATCTATTCTTCCAAACCTTTAGGAAGGGAAGTGGGGTGGGGTGGTTAGAACAATTAAAGTAGCTCTGTGATAGGATGTATGCCATTTTTTGTGAGGTTTTTGGCGGGGAGAGGATTGGGGGTTTTTTAGCTGAACTTATGATACTTTAAATATTTGGCAAGGGCACATAGCTGGGGATCGTTCTTTTTGTTCTGAATAAATGAAAATCAATACAGCTAATTTGGGGGCAATGAATATCAGTATCAATAAAAGGGACCTCTATTTTTCTTGGGTTAAAATTGTAGGTTCTTTACAATGAAGTTGTCATCACTGAACTGTACAAGCAGCTGTATGCACCAGACAACTACACTTTCTTTGGACCCTGTCTCAATGTAATCATTCAAGCAGCAGGAATGGGATTTAATGCCTTCAGAAAAAGTAGTGCTTCTCTTTTACGATTAAAAAAGCCCCATTCATGCAGATGGAGTTTTGAGAGAAGAAAAAATTACTATTCTGGTTTTGGACTTTACAGGCTGACTCCTAACTTTATTGAATATGTAGTAGCAGTGTTGCCTCTTGGATAGTGTCTTTGGACATTTAAAAATCCAGTCTATCAGTATTCCTATACCTAAAATGCATAGCTGAAATTAAGTAGGAATTTTGATCAAAACTCACATTTATTTATGTTTTGTTTTTTCTTTGTTGTGATATTTCTTTTAATCGCTTGAGAATCAAATATTCAGATCTGCCTATGTGGTGGTAAGGGATGCAGCAAGACTTTATACTCATATAAGCAAAACTTTGCACCCCAGGCAACCGATTCTGAGAAGAATCAGTCATAATAGAGAAAGGAAAGCAGAGCACTTCATTGGAGTGGGGTTTGGAGCTCCTGAAGGGGATAAGAGTTTCATGTAAACAAACTCATCAGTACCCAACCCCAAGGAGCCTTCTGTGAATTCTCATCCACTCCTTTCTCCACATTGTAGCTTTTACTGCTGCCCTAGTAACAGTTGTGGGAGATAGATTATTGTGGGTTGGGGGCAGTGGAATGTTCATTCGATAGGCCAGATGCCTTTTGCATTGACCATGCCAGAACTACTAACTGTAATATGTAAATTATCACTTAAATCAGATTCTGTACCAGATGACTGGAGGATAGCTAATATGACGCCAATTTTTTTAAAAGGCTCTAGAGATGATCCTGTCAATTACAGGCTAGTAAACCTAACTTCAGAACCAGGCAAATTGTTTAAAACGATAGGAATCACCAGAATTCAGACACATAAATAAACATAATTTGTTAGGGAAGAGTCAACATGGCTTTTGTAAAGGGAAATAGTGCCTCACCAATATATTAGAATTCTTAGAGGGGGTCAACAAGCTTGTGGACAAGTGGGTTCCAGTTGATATAGTGTACTTGGACTTTCAGAAGACCTTTGACAGGGTCCCTTATCAAAGGCTCTTAAGCAAAGTAAGCAGTCATTGGATAAGGGGGAAGGTCTTCTCACAGATCAGTATCTGGTTAAAAGATTGGAAACAAAGGGTAGGAATAAATGGTCAGTTTTCAGAATGGAGATAAGTAAATAGTAGTTTCCCTCAGGGGTCTGCTCTGGGACTAGTGCTATTCAATATATGCATAAATGATCTAGAAAAAGGGGTGAACAGTGACATGGCAAAGTTTGCAGATGATACAAAACTACTCAAGATAGTTAAGTCCAAAGCAGAATGTGAAGAGTTACAAAATCTCAAAAACCTGAGTGACTGGGCAGCAAAATGCAGATGAAATTCAGTGTTGATAAATAAAAAGTAATACATATTGGAAAACATAATCCCAACTATACGTACAAAATGATGGGTTCTAATTAGCTATTACCACTCAAGAAAGAGATCTGAGTCAATGTGCAGCGGCAATCAAAAAAGCTAACAATATTAGGAACGGGATAGACAATATGACAGTAAATATCATAATCCTTCTATATAAATCCATGGTACTACCACACCTTGAGTACTGCGTGCAGTGCTGGTTGCCCGTCTCGAAAAAGTATATTAGAAATGAAAAAGGTACAGAGAAGGGCAACAAAAATGAAGGGTATGGAACAGTTTGTCTATGAGGAGAGATTAAAAAAACAGACTTTTCATCTTGGAAAAGAGATGACTGGGGTGTGTGTGGGGATATGATAGAAGTCTATAAAATCATGAATGATGTGGAGAAAGTGAATAGGGAAGTGTTACTTACATCTTCACATAATGCAAGAACCAGGGGTCACCTACTGAAATTAATAGGCAACAGGTTTAAAACAAAAAGAAGTACTACTTCACACAACGCACAGTCAACCTGTGGAACTCATTGCCGGGGATGTTGTGAAGGTCAAAAGTATAACTGGGTTTAGAAAAGAATTATATCAGTTCATGGAGGAATGGTCCATCGGGTGACTATTAGCCAAGACGGTCAGGGATGCAACCCCATGCTCTGGGTGTCTCTAAGCCTGACTGCCGGATGCTGGGACTGGACAGTGGGATGGATCGCTGGATGATTGCCCTGTTCTGTTTATTCCCTCTGAAGCATATGGCATTGGCCACTGTTGGAAGACAGGCTACTGGGCTAGATGGACCTTTGGTCTGACCCAATATGGCAATTTGTATGTTCTTTGTTATAGACCCTGAAGCTCCCTACAGTTGGTCTGAAGCAGAGATTGCTGATTTGCATGACCACACCACGGTGATACTAGCAGCTGATGGTAAGAGAATGTAACCGAAGCCAGGGAACTTGATGAAAGTGACATATGAATGTGCAAATGTCAAGTATTTAATCTTGAATAGGATAACTCAGGGTTGTTTTTTTTTAAAAGTAGACCAGATCCTCAGCTGACGTAAAGTTTAATTGACTTCAGCGGAGTTATGATAGTCTTCACTATCTAAAGTTTCTTGCTGTCTTTCTTCAAAAATTATAGATTATAATTACAAATTAGAAATTGGAAACCTTTTTGAAACAGCCTGTTCTTTCATTTGTGGTGATAAACTTGGTAACAAAATCTGAATAAACTGTTTAACGGGAGCAGCAACTTAAAACTTAGTAAATTTTTTAAAACAGTTGCAAGTAGTTTCTTGAACTACATCTGCCCAGAGTCTCACTGCCAACTTGTGTGGTTTTCTTACATGGTTTTTCTCTGTCCTGTTGCTGAGTGAAAGACTCCTACAAATAACAGAACAAGCAAACAGACTGACCTCACTATATAGGAGAAACAGCGAAATATTGGCAATGAAGTAAATAGACTGATGGGACGTGTTTCTCTGATGTTTGAGTTATAATTGTCATAGGTGTTACTTCTAACAATACTGGGTAAAAAAAGTTTCAGGCAGTGTTGTGATTGTATAGATATTCTTTTACCACATACGAAATTTTAACTTCTCTGAAGCAAATTTGTTGTAAACTGAGCACAGTTCATACAGTCAGTAGTGAAGTTACCACGCCTTATCTCTCAGAAAATGAAAATTATCTAGATGGTATTTTTTTAACTCTGTACCCTTCACTGTAGACCTTGGAAAAAACAAGAGAAATTTTTTTCCTCGAAAACCATGCCCTTTACTCTTTTTATGTAATTTGATCACACTTTCAGCCTTTCGTTTGTATCCTAAAGTGGTGAATATTTTCTAGTGCAGCTGTTCTGCAGTATGTTTCTTAGTAAGTAGTGCCTGGATTTGTTGAACTCAGTTGTGTGTATAAGTCCTGCCTAGTGTCTTTAGACAGTCAGATCAGGAGGCAACGTTTCTTATACATGATATGATTACGTTGCTGATGATGTAACCAGTCGCTGGATGCCTTTTTTTGGCATACTGTATCTTTTCACTTTAAGGAACTTGATGGGCCTGATTCTCTTCTCACACAAGTTTAACTTTGAGTTCAGTGGAACCACTACCACTGAACAGCCTCATGATTTATATCTCCTCCTTCCTTTAAGACATACAGTAAGGTATTTCTTGGTTGGGAGAGAGCCTGTTTATAGATAATGCAAGTTGCCAGACTAATGATTTGCATTGACATTTGAGAAACCAGTGAAGGCTTGACAAAAAGCAGCTGTGATTAATATAGCAGAGTCAGTTGTTGCCATTAAAAGCTCTTCCTACTTTCTCCTACACTACTGTCTGGATTTGTCCTAAAGATTGTTCATTAGAAATAATCTGCATAAGTAAGGATGATTGTTTTGTGTTTAAAATCATGTATGACTAAAACAGTCAAACGTTCATCGCTATGTTAATGTTTCTTTTGTATTTTAGTTTTTTATGAAGATGACTTAACAGATGCTTTATTCAAAACACTGTACAAAATCACCCACAACTTGAAAAACTCTTGCACAATTTACTTATCAATAGAAAAGAGGTAAGTGCCACCTTGACCTTCCTTAAGATCTTTGTTTTTGCTTCAAATCTTTTGATTCTCATTAACTGATCAGACATTTCAATGAGTATTCAGTGCACAGTATGTTCTTTAGCCTCCAAGCGTTCTCAGGTTCTGAACCTACAAAAGTCATGAGAAAGAGTTATGATTCTCTCTCATTGTTCTCGCTATGTGTCATGTCATGCTATCCTTGGGTAGAGTTACGCAAATGTAGCTAAATGAGAAAAAGGCCTAAAATTCGTGGGAAGGGAGGGTAGTTTCTTTCTTTGAGACAGAAGTATTATCCAGAACTTATCAGTATTCTGATCTTAATTAAGATAACACACTTGCTATGAAAAGAACATGGTCATTATTGTTTGACATCAATAAAAAGAATTTATATTGCATTTTCTCTCTGCTGCTATATTTGGGGAAGTTAAGTATCTATTTAAGATACAAGGGACAGGGAAAATGCTTTGAGATATCACTTTAAATGGATACTTTCTTGCCAGGCTGAACTTTACCTTAAGACATATGGACATTACATGTGAAGCTTACAATCATTTTCGAAATACTTTGAATGATCTGGAAAACTTACAAGATAGCAAAATGAAATATACTTCTGAGCCCATTAAGCTTGCTTTCTGCCAATTTCTCGTTTATGAACGGATTGAGCAACTGGTGAGTGTTGTTTATCACACTAAATGTAATGTGTTAAGAGAATTACTTCAAAAAGTTTTCAGTTCAGTCAATATAGTGAGTAAAAACACAAAACAATTCACCATTTTATTTACGTTCATAAAGAAGCTATTTGTTGTCCAAGAAATTACCTTTATATTTACATTTTTTATGCTGGGCTATGTCACAGCATATCAAGGTTTTATCAATTACATACCCTGGCAAAGCTTATGTTGATAAGATTTATTTTACCTTTGAGTAAATTAATATAATCTGCATCATAAACATGCTCACTAGAGCAACAGAAAACATGATTTTCAGAGTAACTACAAAACAGAACTAAAATATTAATTTATTTGCTAGTAAATGTCTAAAATAGTGCCATGGTATGTTTCTCTATGTAAGAAAAGCTCCTTTCCACGTTTCGAGTAAAAAAAAACCTTTGCTACTTAAAGTGTACTGAAAAAGAGATCATATCAAATTATTAATAAATTTTAATAATCTTAAAAATTACCAGATGCAGTAATTTTTAAATGGTTTCCTCATTTACTTATTTTACCAGAGGGCTCTGTTGTCCCAACTATATATAATTTCAGTAATACCTAAAGTCACGTAGAGAATGTAACCGTTGGTACCATTTTAGATGTTAATAGTGATTATCTGCTGTTGCAGAAAAAATAAGTAACCTTGAACTAGATTTTTAATCTCTTGGAGGTTCGTAAAGATTGAAACTCATTTGGTCAAATATTCTGTGTTTTTCTTTTAAAATATCTGTCTGTAATAGGACCTGATTTGGACGGAACCCTAGTTTCATAGTTAATTTTTTTTTTTATTCAGCTTTGATATGTACAATGACCAAAGCCATAAGAAATAACAACATACTGTTTTTGTGTTATATATTTTCTAGGTCTCATATGCTTCATAAATGTTTTTTGCCAAAGATTGTATTATGATCGTGTTGGTCTTTAGTGCTCTGTATGTAATAAAACCGTAATGTACTGTTTCCATTCTACTTGAAACTATAAGTGAAATCTCTAATCACAATTTAAAATATGGTGGTGATAGAGGACTGCTTATAAATTACACTTGTGACCAAGACAGTCTTCTTTCTAATGTTCCATTTAGCAAACACACATCTGCTCTACTGTTCATTCTCCAGAAATAGAGACACTTTTCAATGTCTCCTGTTCCTCACGTTTTTGTAGTAAAATATATTGAGTGCATGTATATATTCAGTTACACCCTTGAAGGCTGTATGAGGAACCATTTGCAGAACCAAGCAAAAAAACACAGAACAAGTTATCAGCCAAAACATACCTTCTGCAGACCCCAGAATTTGTGAAATTATTGTAATGACATTTAATTTATGGCAATGTTAATTATTTAGAATACTGAATTCCCTTGCTAACTTCAGGAATAGGTAGATTCAACTTCTCTTGCTGTAGCTAAAAGGTACAAAGCTCCAAGAATAATAGCTAAATTAAATTAGTCTTCAAAGATACTTCTTGCCTTATGCATGCTGCAAGCAAATTTATGTAACGGGCGGGTGTTGAAACTAATTTAATATTCCTTAATAATTATCATGTTATAGTGGCCTGAGTGCATTCTAAAAATACACTTTTTTCCCTTTGCACAGGAGCTGTGGAAGATCATTGCTGAACCACTTATGTGACCTCTTTCACATAAGACAGCTGAAGACCTTGAGGCAGAAAATTAATGCTGTTCTACAAATAAAACAATGTAGAGTTTTTTCCAGAAGATGTGGTCCCAGTGGAACCATAAGCCAAGATTTTGATGCAGATTTGCCTTAAACTAATTAAATATATCTTGTAGCACTTAAAGGATGATTTCTTTATAGTTTTTAATGATGCTGTTTTTAAATTGCTCCTCATAGTACAGATCTGAAAACTACTCTTAACTACTTCTATCAACTTTGTGATGGATCCACAGATACTGGCTCTCTAACAGTCGTGATAAGGTGTCTTTACTCCTGGGACCAGTAATTTTTTTTCTATGACTTTTTCCCTGTACACTAATAACCACCCATCCAACCTCTTTCCATGTTACAGAAGTGTCAATCTCATACACTTACATTTATATCTAATAATCAGTAAACTCAGTCAGAGCCAGATTCTACTTCCATACCAGGTTAGTATTCTAGACATTTGTGGAGTGATCTGCAAAAGGCCCAGCTGCTTTTCACCAGGTGGTTGCTCTGAGTTGAGGAAACAATCTATTTTTAAAACATCAGAATGAACTACGAAAATGGAGGACTACCTTTTCGCCTACCTTGACCTTTCTAGTGTAGAAGCCAGGATTTCAACTGACGCACAGAGTTCAGGTTTTGTATGCCTCTCTCTGGAGCAATTCTGCTCGCATCTTATGCTGTTCAATCCCTGCTAAGCTGAGGGTGGTATGAATTGTCCACCCTCTTTCAGTCCGTGGAATTCTAGCCTCACAACATTCCTGTGGGTGGGTGAGATTTTGGGAGGAGGAGGAAATTAGTGCCATGGAGCCTCTTTTGCATTGCCCACTCACATATTCTTGGACTTCTTGGCTATAAAAATAAAAGTAGCATTTGTTGATCACGGCTCTCCTGGTTAATAAACACAAACCCCACGATATATGTTCTATATTTCTGTAATAATTTTTTTTCTTTTTTTTGGGTGGTGCTGGTGGTCCATCATGGTCACCCATTTTCCCCACACCTGCAGTCGTGGGAACTCTTCCTCCTGCTGAAGAGCTCTAGACTTCTTTCTTTAGAGTTGTTTTCAGTGGGTTCAAGTGCAGCATGATGCTCCCTGTCTCTGAATGTGTTGGTTCCGTAGTTCTTCCAGCCCAGAGAGCTGTGATCTTTCATGTTGTAATGTATTGCGCTTTATACTAGATTGCCAAACAAGGCCTCTAGTAGTAGTTTTTAAAAGAGGTTTTATGCTTGATTTGGTTAATTTTTTAGGGCAGTAATTACTGATTTTTCTCTTTACGTGCATGAGGATATTCTACGTGGTGATCTTAGTTGGGTTAAAATAGTTTTGTGGGAGGGTTTTGTTGGGTTTTTTTTTTGTTTTGTTTTGATTAGAGGCACTTTAGACAACACAGTTGATCCATTAACCATATGGTTAATATATCCTTGGCTAGATTTCTGTAGCACATCAGTCTGTCAAAACGCTTAGTTAACTATCTTAAAACACTTGGATATTATTTTGTAATGATGATCTTAGCCCAGGTATAGTTCATTATACCAGATAGGTGCATTGATAAGAGAAGCTACATATTGTATCTTGGATAGTATGTGATCAGGCTGGCTTAGTTCCACTGGGACTTGTGTTATTTAATGAATATAGAAAGATGAGATTAGCTTTGTTTTTCTAGGTAGTATCATCTTGTGTCATAATCTTCACAGTGTTTTTTAGTCTGGCATTTTATTCATAACATACAAGTTTTCTTTAACCATATGAGTTAAGTACTGACTAGCATCTTTAATTTTGAACTTTGCTTTTCTGTATGTCATTGGGGTTAGTGAACTTTTTACAGCTTTTAAATAACAAAGTTGTGGCTCTGAATGCAGATGGATTGCACACCTTGAAAAGAGGTGGGAGCATGTAAAGGCTATAATGAATGTCAAAAATGCTTCTGTAAACAGGGATTTCTTTAGTATTGTTTAACTTCAAATACAATGATAAAAACCATGTTTTAATTCAGGGTTCCCAAGTTGCTGTCCATGGGATACTACTGGTTTGTAGAGCATGTACTGGTGATCCAATAGAATTGACGGTTCATGTAGTCCTGGCTGCTGATTTTTGTTTCTTCAAATATCCAGGCTCTTCATTGCAAAGAAGAGTCTAGTAGCCAGTAAAAATAGGTGGAAATAACGAGGCAACTTAGCTGCTTCCACTAGGGGCACTGCTACATGAACAAGTAGAGGAAACAGGATCATGGGGCAGAGTGGAGCTGCCAGTTGCAAGGGAATGTCCAGGAAGAGGAATAGAGTGAGTTGGTCAGCAGAGGGACGGGAGCTAAGGCTCCAATCCAGCAAAACTATTAAACTAGCAAGTAGTCCAATTGATTTCATTGGGACGACTCAGGTGCTTAAAATTAAACATCGGCTTAGATGCTCTGTTGGATTTAGGGTCCAAGTGACAGAAAAAAGTCTTACGGATGTTGTGTTATCTGAGTTGATGTAGTGGGGGACAAGGTGCACATGCATGCTTTCTGAACTTATTAAAATGTTATTCTGTATATATTCGGTTTGAGTCACAAACCTGACATGAAGAAAATCTGTCAATTTTCTTGTGGTTCAGAAAATCTCTCCAAGAAGACTTAAAATATGTATTTTTCTTGAAGACTGAAATGTGGCACCTGGTGGGGACTGTTTGGGGGAACATGCATTTAGAGTCTGCTCATGTAAATATTTGACTGTTCAGATTTTTGCCAGATTTTCAAGAGCCCAGGACCTCCCACTTACGCATCTAAAGAAGTGGTCAGCTCTTTAAAACTGCATCATGCCCAGCAGTAGACAAGCAGCTGCAAGGTGCTGAGTGGTGTTAGAAGTCTGGTCACTTCATATAGGTGCCTAAGGACTTGTATTTAATTTTTTAAAATACATTGACAATTTAATGTGTGTTGAAATGTGCCATTTATCTAATATATCAAAACTCTGCATTTTTGCATTTTTAAAGTGATATTAACACAACAAATGAGCAATTGTTTCAAATTTCTTAGCTTGTGGCATAATGTCAATAAATTGCTGCCAAAGAAGTTTCAGCTAGAAGCAGACTTTTACAACCAAGTTATAAGCTTTAGAAAACATGAAGATCTTGGGTCAGTGGTGACTACTGAAAGGAAGCGGAGCCTTTGCGGTTGTGGAATGTGCTTTTGCTAAACTGTTATGCTGTGTAATCAGTGTGGCCAAAGGCTTTGTTGTTTTTGGGTTAATACTAACGGCATGGTTTTACTTTGAAAATTAATTTGTGTTTTGAAATTGTGGTGTAACAAGATAAGTGAAACAGACCCTTTATGTGGAAAAGCTGTGTGTGCTTAAGGTAGTGTGTTTACTCTTGCTGTGCAGATTTTTCACTTTCAGAGGAGCCTGAAAAGTCAACCCAACCATCAGCAGAAGGAAACTTTGGATTATACAGGTAGAGTGACATTGTAGATTTATTCTCCTTTTTTAACATAACTGGTTCTGATTAGATCTAAATGGAGTATTGCATGCTGAGATCCATTGTATGAGGAAGGGTGAAAGCCAGCTGTTTAAAATAAAAGGGAGTGTGACATTTATTCACTTAAAATATTTTCTAGGTGATCAAAGGTAATTCTTTTATCTCTCTGGAATGTTTAAGTTTGGCTTTACTCTAAAAGTGATGTTGTTTTAAAAAAAAAAAATGGTTACATGTTTGGACCAATGACTTTCATTTAGAGTTGCTCCCATTACGATTAAAAATGGCTCTGGCTGCAGTTTCAGTCTGAAGTCCTGCTGTGTTGCCCCTTATCACCAAAAACAGATTCTGCAACCAAAAATAGGTAACAGCTCTGAGGGTACAAGAGCCAGAAAGGGAACTTGCACTCTCATCAGTGTACTTAGCTGTCCAGTACTAACACATAAGAAAAGGAAAAACCTATGCCAGAAAGTTAGGCAGGTATTACTCAGCATACCTAGAATAAAAGTTTTGAGTAAGAATGTGCAGCTCTTACATAGCCATGTTTCTTGCCATAACAGCACTTTTAAATAGTACTAATAGCGTGTGACCTTACTGAGGACTTACTATGCACATTTTAGCCTAAAGCAATTTAATTTGTTCTACTGATAGCAACAAAACCAAAAGTTTGTACAAATATTGTGTACACAAGTGTTGCACCCAGAAATTTAGTTTTCACCTTATCTGATATGACTTCCATTATATGTTTGGCAAAATGATATGTTTTCCTAATAAAGCATGATTTAGAAAATGCTACTAAGCCTGTGTGAAGAATATCCACTTGTGGTGTGCCAGATGGTGGCGGACATGAAGACTTTTTTGTCTGGTGCCTGAATTGTGTTTTGGACACAACTTTAGATCTTAGAATGTTGGCCAGAATATGTAGTGTAACAATATAGGTTATTAGGGTTCAGTAGCTCAAGCAACAGGCTTCAGGTCTTCCCTGATAGTTTTTCTGCCTTTTTACTGAGTGGGTAGTTTAAGCAAGCAACTCTTCCAGTGAATTTGAGCGTTCGTGGAAGGAGCTGAATACATAAGCAAAGATGCTGCAATGGAAACCAAATCCTCGACACCAAACAGATATAGCTCAGATTCTTGCTGATTTGTCTTGAGTGATCTTCAGCCTACCTTCTCTTTCACTGCCTGTCCTTTCTATTGAGACAACAATCAAGGATGCCAATTTTGTTGGTCACTTTCATGATGCAGATAGCTGTCCGCTAGAAATTGCCTTGGGGCCTCCGATTCCATTCACGTAGCCTGCCAAGCAAACTAAGGTGGTAGATGACAAAATCATTAAGATGGGCTATCTTGGATGGGAATTAGAAGGGAGGAGGTTTCATGCTCCCTCCCCCCCGCCTTTTTCCCCAATCACTGTAGACACAGTTCCCCTTCCTCGTTTTTTCTAATTTCAGTTATCATTTTGGTAGCTAGTAATAGAATTAAAGGCTTATGCTTCCATTTACAAACTAGCAGGTGTAGGATAAGCCAGTATCACCCACTCCTGTAGGTCCTGTAATTTTGTGAACGTTATAAAGGAAAAGAGAATGCTCAGCATAGCTATCCTTTTGTAGCTGATAATTGAAACAATTGCATTTGGACACCTTTGTGGGCGGGAGGGGGAGGAGATCGTTTCTTTTCCAAGTGAGCACTCATCTATCCAAACATCTAACTTTTTAATCTCTGATCTACTAGTCCAATTAGTTACAAACATTCAGACAAATTGTTGCTGTGTGTGGAAGAAGTCACTGAAGAAAATATGACCCTGGCATTTATCTCTGCTGAAAGGAGGAGTATCAATCACCTCCTGAGGTGGAAAGTTTGTTGAATCCTGGAAATACTAGCTTCTAACATCAGCTCTATTTATAGCAAATCTACCTTAGTACCCTGCCAGTGTATATAGACACAGTTTAAATTTCCACTTTATGGGTCTTTTCTCCAAAGTGAAACGATGTCATGAGCTCAACATGATGACTTTCACATACAACTACCAGTCTGAGGTCCTCTTTCAACTTCAGCGGTTTTTGGAAAGAAACTCTAGTCAATATTAGTTTTGATATTGATCGATTAAAGGAACAATTTGAGCTTCTAGGTGGACGTGCATTCCAAAAGTTCCTCCTCCTTTTACCTTGCGTACACACGGTGAGTGTGCTCACTTTCACTGCTCTGGTTGAGCTGTTCAGTTCGTTTGACTTTGCCTCAGTACTAGCAAAAACATGCATAGTATTGAACTTGATGTAGTTGCCAGAGGATTATTTTACCTACTTTTATTTAGTACATTGTTTACTTTATTTGCTGTTATACATTCACTTTTAGGTGGTTGTTCATACACCATTCCTACAGCCTGATCTGCTGCACGTCACTCACTTTCATAGAATCCTAGAAGATTTGGGTTGGACGAGGCCTCAGGAGGTCATCTAGTCCCACCCCCTGCTCAAAGGAGGACCAAAACCAACTAAATCATCACAGCCAGGGCTTTGTTAAGCCGGGCCTTAAAAACCTCTAAGGATGGAGATTCCACCACCTCCCTAGGTAACCCATTCCAGTGCTTCAGCACCCTCCTGTTGTAGTAGTATTTCCTAATATCCAGCTTAGACCTCCCCCACTGCAATTTGAGACCATCGCTCCTTGTTCTGTCATCTGCCACCACTGAGAACAGCCTAGCTCCATCCTCTCTGGAACTCCCCTTCAAGTAGTTGAAGGCTGCTGTTAAATCCCCCCTCACTCTTCTGCAGACTAAACAAGCCCAGATGAACAGCCGAGCTTCAGCCTCCTTGGAAGCTCCTTGGCCCCCTTCAGGTAGTTGAAGGCTGAGTGACAGGGTCAGGCCACATGGCTACAGAAGAGTGATCGAAGGCAGATATATTAATCCCAGGTTAAGTAGATCCCTTTTCCCTGGGTAAAGTGACGGGGCAGTTCCAGAACAAGCAGGAACTTGCTGGAACCAGTTAAGGTGGGCAGGCTAATTAGGACACCTGGAGCCAATTAAGAAGAAGCTGCTAGAATCAATTAGGACAGCTGGCTAATAAGAGCACCTGGGTTTAAAAAGGACCTCACTTCAGTTAGTGAGAGGCGCGTAAGGAGCTGGGAGTGAGAGGATGTGCTGCTGGAGAACTGAGGAGTACAAGCGGTATCAGACACCAGGAGGAAGGTCCTGTGGTGAGGATAAAGCAGGTGTTAGGAGGAGGCCATGGGGAAGTAGCCCAGGGAGTTGTAGCGTCACACAGCTGTTCCAGGAGGCACTCTAGACAGCTGCAATCGACAGGGCCCTGGGCTGGAACCCGGAGTAGAGGACGGGCCCAGGTTCCCCCCAAACCTCCCAACTCCTGATCAGACACAGGAGGAGTTGTCCTGGACTGTGGGTTCCACCAGAGGGGGGGTCTTTGGGCTGTTCCCCGACCTACATGGTGGATCAGCAGAGACTGCAGGGGTTGTTCTTCTCCTTTTCCCCATGCTGGCCAGTGATGAGGTTATCTGCGTGAACGGCAAATCTGAGCCACGAAAGTGGCCAAACTGAGGGCTGCTGTGAATCTCTGAGGCAAGCAAATCCGCCAATAAGCGCAGGACCCACCAAAGTAGAGGGGGAATTTTGTCACAACTGTTATTAAATCCCCCCTCACTCTTTTCTCTTCTGCAGACTAAATAACCCCAGTTCCCTCAGCCTCTCCTCATAGTCATGTGCCACAGCCCCCTAATCATTTTCATTGCCCTCCGCTGGACTCTCTCCATTTTGTCCAAATCCACTCTCCAATTTGACTCCTAGAACATTCCATAGGCAGAGAGAGCCGTATGTTAAGTGCCAAAGTCCCACTTTGAGACATTGGTCTAAAGTATTTTCTCATAGCACCTTGACCCCATTTCCCAGGTTTTCCACTTCTGGATGTTTCTTAGCCCCCTGTTGCATGTAATTTGCAAATAAGTTGGCCACAGGAGGTGATGTCTAACACACAGTTTGAGGGTGTTCCTTTGACTAAGGTAACTTTGGAATGCTGCATTCAGTCGATTCCAAAATTTCCAGGAATGTTGTAGGTACCAGGGAGCACAACCCTATTGATATTGATGCAAATTGGAACATCAGAAAAGCCTGATTCATGGGAAGATTAGAACCTTTAGTCTGCCTATACCTGCACGCAATGAATCTCTCTGCCACCCCCTGCTGTTACCTACACATATTAAAGGCAGCAGCTTAACTTCCTGTGTTGAGAGGTTAGCTGTCTCATGGATTCTAGCAGAAACAAGAAAGCTCTGCAGGGAAGGTTGGTGAAGGGTGGGGGCGGGGACAGAGACCTGCAAAGTGGTGGTGATTAAGGAAGCAGGAACCTGGGGATGTGTGGAAGCGGGGATCTGGAGTTGGGGGAGAGAAAAATGGGGCTTCTAGGTGGA